TTTTTTTTATAGCTCTTGAGAATTTGTAGATCTTAGAAGTCGGACAGTCAGGACTGGTTGGCAAGAGTGTTATTTAAACCTAGCTCATTTTTAAACTAACTTCATTATAGCATTCACTTCAGATCTTTTTGAGAGATCTCACAAAGATTAACGTGTTTATGTACCCTGTATTTGATTTCAGCTAAAGTTCACACTTAATACGGGTGTTCATGGATGTTCTTTCATCCACCTGCTATAGGAAGGATGTTTTGTTTTCTCCATTTGAGTCATCTAACAGCACACAGCTTCTTAGCGAAGATACAATTTACTGGAGGCCTGTTAGGTTTTGTCAATTGGGTAGTGTTGCCATGATGAGTTCTGAGAGGACGGGGGTTAGTAGAGGGACTTGATTTCCTAAATGTGACTGATTTAGCAATGCTTCCTTCATTTGTCTGTCCTTAAAGCCTTCTTTGTAGTGAAACTTTCTCCAATTTGATCACTAAGCATCAGTCTTTCTCAGGCAGGCTTACTGATGTGAAGCTATCTTTCTGGATGGCCTCTTTGCTTTGCAGCAGCTGTTAGAGCATTAACTGCTACTGGTGCCAGATATTACAGGGTGGGTGTTTTTAGTTGTGCTAATTAACTGTGATCAGAGCTGTATTTGGTTCACTCTTTAATGAATTCATGTGAAGATCAAAGATTATCTGCGTAAGCCTCTCTATCTTTTGTGAAGGGATTTTTAAATAACCCAGTTATGGTAAACTATTTTTAAACCATTGGATATTTTTCTTCAGCAAATTGAACCAGATGCTATGCTTCCCCCACATCCAAGTAGATGACAGGAGTGCCAAACTCACTTTTTAAGAACTTAAGCTGTCAGAATTTATCTGTTTTTAACTTGAAAAATACAAACAAAAGGTGGGAGACCCAGAAAATACTTTCTCTATAAGGTCAGTCAGTACGCAGAATGAATTCAGTTTTTCACGTTGTTCCTTTTAGTAAAAATCCAGTGCTCATGAAAGGTGTTTAACTGGCAGCCCTACATAGTGAAGTCCTTTGTTTGAAATGCAGGCAAGGCAATGTAAACTCCTTTCCACTAGCTGTTGCTGTGCTTATAAGAAAATAATGCTCTGTTTTAAATGATTGACTCTCTGTTGAGGTGGGCAGGAAGAATACCAACTAGGAACTGTAGGGCGGTGTTGAGACACCTGTCCATGCGGAGAATGGCAGGCTACCAAAGTCATTTTACTTTTCTAAATGATTAAATTCCTATTCTAATATCACCGTGGGCCTTTGGCTGCATCTCAATTTAGAAAATTATATTGAGCCTAGCTGAATTCCTTCTGCAGTTTCAGCTGGATGGCATAATCATTTATTTTCCTGTCTGATGCGACTGTTGTATGCTTTTAATCTTCCATATTCCATCCCCAGTGAAGGGTGGACTTCATGGGTAGGAGATATGACACACTGCTACTTTAGTGCTTCACATCAATAAAGCACCCACCACCGTGTCTCATTCCTGTCCTGGTGTGGCCCTCTCTAGGGTAAAATGGTAGTTTAGGCTTTTTTTGTTCATTTTTGGCCTGTGCTGAGTGTAGCAGTAAAGGTGCCAGTTGTGCTATTTTTTTTATTACACAGGTGAAAAAACTGGGAACTAAACAGACCATGAAACTCATTTCAAATAAGGTACCAGACACTCAGCAGATGTTAACAAATGGTTGTTGTGTTGGATTGGATTACCTTTGTGACCTAAAGGTGAAAGATTATACATCTCATTTTCATCCTGTTGAGC